ACCTCTTTTGTCAGTTTTTTAATGTTGAAAATCTTTATAAGACCTCTGATGATGCAAAATTGTACAAAATTTAACAATTTCAAGCATGAAAATGTTAATCTTTATGTTTAATGTATACCAAAGACTTGATTAAAGTACTTGGTAATGGGGAATCAATTTCTTACAGCTGAATCAACTATACATTTAATATATGTCAAAATGTAACATGAAATCTTGATAAAAATAATAATTTGATATATTCGCAAGAAAAAATACAAAACATTCAATACTTAGGCTACTACATACTGCGCAATCCTCCAGAAGCAAGGGTTAAGCAAATAGAGTACAATTATAAGCCTTGTCCCAAAATGTCTAATTTTGGTTGCTAAGGACTGTAATCAATAAAATTGACATGTATTGTCATTCTTAAACACTTAATCCCTTCAGAAGTTGATTTAGAATCTAAATATCAATAGATTTGTGGTATGAAAAGTCTTAAATTATACAATTCTGAGCTTGGTAAGTATGCCATAAGGTAGCAATAAACAGTTAGGAAAAAATATTAAAATTTTCCCTCATAAATTTTACCATCCCCTTTTCATTGCCTTCTTGCAATATTAAGCTTACTGTTTGTGTCATATATGTGCATATGTATGTAATCAGAATCTTCCATAGATTTCAAATCCAGTATATAAAATGGTAAAATATAATTTCTTTTTGGTGTATCCATGGCAACAATCTGCATTTTTTTGTTATAAAATATAACAAAAAAGGGGGAAAAGATGTCACATATTTCCCCAAAATTTGACCAAAAGTCGAATTTCAATCACTTCAAGTAATACCTTTTCTGAAACTGTTTACATATATCTTTCAATAAATCCAATGAAAATTATATGTCTTTCATCTCATTTTTTTGTAAAATTGCGTCAAAAACTTCGTGTAGAAAAAAAGTGTTTGTAAACATTACATTAATTTCTGGACCGATGACCGGTCTAGCTATGAAAATACGGAGGGTCAAACAGAAAATAGCCCATAAAACATGTAAAAAATAATCTTGATGTTCTTATAAACCACCTTTGAAGGCTAAATTAGTACTCAGCTGTCTAAAAATAAATTTTATTACACAATAACTTTCATATTTGAAAAATCCACCGGGGCCAAAATGCGAAACCAAACTCCTAACTGTGTATTGCTACCTTAATAGTAAATATTTTTTTCCAATTCTCCCTTTTAACTAATTTTCTGTGTTCTGCTAGCTAAAAGGAGTAAAATGGCCTTTTATTTTTGAAAATTGGTTCAGTAATGAATATTTTATGAAGGTTAGCAGTTGACACTGAAACGCGACAAAAACTGATTTAAAGAAAGGTGCCAAGTCAAAGAGTAAAATCTTGTTTCTACCTCAATTTTTGGCAAAATCTTAAAAACTATACCTCTTTTGTCAGTTTTTTAATGTTGAAAATCTTTATAAGACCTCTGATGATGCAAAATTGTACAAAATTTAACAATTTCAAGCATGAAAATGTTAATCTTTATGTTTAATGTATACCAAAGACTTGATTAAAGTACTTGGTAATGGGGAATCAATTTCTTACAGCTGAATCAACTATACATTTAATATATGTCAAAATGTAACATGAAATCTTGATAAAAATAATAATTTGATATATTCGCAAGAAAAAATACAAAACATTCAATACTTAGGCTACTACATACTGCGCAATCCTCCAGAAGCAAGGGTTAAGCAAATAGAGTACAATTATAAGCCTTGTCCCAAAATGTCTAATTTTGGTTGCTAAGGACTGTAAACAATAAAATTGACATGTATTGTCATTCTTAAACACTTAATCCCTTCAGAAGTTGATTTAGAATCTAAATATCAATAGATTTGTGGTATGAAAAGTCTTAAATTATACAATTCTGAGCTTGGTAAGTATGCCATAAGGTAGCAATAAACAGTTAGGAAAAAATATTAAAATTTTCCCTCATAAATTTTACCATCCCCTTTTCATTGCCTTCTTGCAATATTAAGCTTACTGTTTGTGTCATATATGTGCATATGTATGTAATCAGAATCTTCCATAGATTTCAAATCCAGTATATAAAATGGTAAAATATAATTTCTTTTTGGTGTATCCATGGCAACAATCTGCATTTTTTTGTTATAAAATATAACAAAAAAGGGGGAAAAGATGTCACATATTTCCCCAAAATTTGACCAAAAGTCGAATTTCAATCACTTCAAGTAATACCTTTTCTGAAACTGTTTACATATATCTTTCAATAAATCCAATGAAAATTATATGTCTTTCATCTCATTTTTTTGTAAAATTGCGTCAAAAACTTCGTGTAGAAAAAAAGTGTTTGTAAACATTACATTAATTTCTGGACCGATGACCGGTCTAGCTATGAAAATACGGAGAGTCAAACAGAAAATAGCCCATAAAACATGTAAAAAATAATCTTGATGTTCTTATAAACCACCTTTGAAGGCTAAATTAGTACTCAGCTGTCTAAAAATAAATTTTATTACACAATAACTTTCATATTTGAAAAATCCACCGGGGCCAAAATGCGAAACCAAACTCCTAACTGTGTATTGCTACCTTAATAGTAAATATTTTTTTCCAATTCTCCCTTTTAACTAATTTTCTGTGTTCTGCTAGCTAAAAGGAGTAAAATGGCCTTTTATTTTTGAAAATTGGTTCAGTAATGAATATTTTATGAAGGTTAGCAGTTGACACTGAAACGCGACAAAAACTGATTTAAAGAAAGGTGCCAAGTCAAAGAGTAAAATCTTGTTTCTACCTCAATTTTTGGCAAAATCTTAAAAACTATACCTCTTTTGTCAGTTTTTTAATGTTGAAAATCTTTATAAGACCTCTGATGATGCAAAATTGTACAAAATTTAACAATTTCAAGCATGAAAATGTTAATCTTTATGTTTAATGTATACCAAAGACTTGATTAAAGTACTTGGTAATGGGGAATCAATTTCTTACAGCTGAATCAACTATACATTTAATATATGTCAAAATGTAACATGAAATCTTGATAAAAATAATAATTTGATATATTCGCAAGAAAAAATACAAAACATTCAATACTTAGGCTACTACATACTGCGCAATCCTCCAGAAGCAAGGGTTAAGCAAATAGAGTACAATTATAAGCCTTGTCCCAAAATGTCTAATTTTGGTTGCTAAGGACTGTAAACAATAAAATTGACATGTATTGTCATTCTTAAACACTTAATCCCTTCAGAAGTTGATTTAGAATCTAAATATCAATAGATTTGTGGTATGAAAAGTCTTAAATTATACAATTCTGAGCTTGGTAAGTATGCCATAAGGTAGCAATAAACAGTTAGGAAAAAATATTAAAATTTTCCCTCATAAATTTTACCATCCCCTTTTCATTGCCTTCTTGCAATATTAAGCTTACTGTTTGTGTCATATATGTGCATATGTATGTAATCAGAATCTTCCATAGATTTCAAATCCAGTATATAAAATGGTAAAATATAATTTCTTTTTGGTGTATCCATGGCAACAATCTGCATTTTTTTGTTATAAAATATAACAAAAAAGGGGGAAAAGATGTCACATATTTCCCCAAAATTTGACCAAAAGTCGAATTTCAATCACTTCAAGTAATACCTTTTCTGAAACTGTTTACATATATCTTTCAATAAATCCAATGAAAATTATATGTCTTTCATCTCATTTTTTTGTAAAATTGCGTCAAAAACTTCGTGTAGAAAAAAAGTGTTTGTAAACATTACATTAATTTCTGGACCGATGACCGGTCTAGCTATGAAAATACGGAGAGTCAAACAGAAAATAGCCCATAAAACATGTAAAAAATAATCTTGATGTTCTTATAAACCACCTTTGAAGGCTAAATTAGTACTCAGCTGTCTAAAAATAAATTTTATTACACAATAACTTTCATATTTGAAAAATCCACCGGGGCCAAAATGCGAAACCAAACTCCTAACTGTGTATTGCTACCTTAGTTCCACTGACTGCTTTAAAAAGGAACCTAGTTGAAAATTTGTTGGGTTTAGTATATTTGTAGTTTTTTGTGTTGGTGCAACTCATAAAGTCAATATTTTGAGAAACAATTTCAGAGAAGTAATTGTTTCTTAGATTTTTATTTATTTTGCAATGAAAAAAGAAATGAAATTCATCATCTATATCTTTAATAGAGCAAACATCACATGATCTAAGATTTCGTGGTATTTTTTTTTATATCTACCCAATTCAAGTTCCAGATTATGATCACATATTCTAAATTTAGTAATAAGTTTACGAAATTCAAAGTTTGAATGTGACAAGTAAAATTCTGTCACAGTATCTGTTTTGAGATCTTTGTAGAGAAAAAGTTTATTTTGTTCACATAGGTTTTCAATATTTGTTTTATAGAGGTTTTTATATTTATTATAGAAATTCCTACTTTGATAACATGTTTTAGAGATTTGACTTCCTTTATAGTTTTGCATGAAGGCAAATTTTTGGGGTCATCTATCTCTTTAGGGATAATACATTTGGCATGTGTATACCAGGAATATACATTTTGTGCATCTAACATCTTACAGATTTCAAACGATTCCTTTAATAGAGGATTAATATCTTTAGTATGTAGCCTAGCCAAATATAATATAGACTGGACTTTAATAATAAAGTTAGCTATTGGTAACTTCAAAACGAATTACCAAATTTGCTGTGCATTTTCTAACACCAAATGTGTATTTACAGAATGATAAACTAACCTTTTCAAAAGCTGATCTATCTATAGAAGAAAATGGAGCAACAATTTTGTTACTATAGCTTGCACGAGCTTTTGCTCTTATAGATGGTAGGTCAACCAGTCTGCACTAACGTTAACTTTCAGAGCTCGTCATTTGCCATATTGAAAGCGGAAAACCACTATCTGCTATGACTAATGGCTGACATTTAGAAAAAAACCATCATGTAATCTACATTTTTCTCTATTGATTTATTTTTAATTTTTTTTTATAGAATTCGTGTTCAGCATATGGAGTGCGACACTACTGCATGGAAGGAGAGTTGCCATGAAGTTACCGTAGGGCTGAAGAATGAATTTCAGTGCGCCATGTTGCCAGGGATATGTCATAACATCACAGAAATCGATGACATACTACACAATAATGTTTGTAGACGTCAGGCTTTTCTTCAAGCTTTAAGAAGTTCATACGGTGGAGCAAGTAGTCCGAGCTCCTGGATTTTATCAATTGGTCTTGCAGTGGGACTTAGTCTACTCTTTCTATAGTTACTATTAGTATGGCATGAAGAACTACATTTCAATTGTTTTGTCTTTCAAAATAGATAGTTTTGAATTTTTTATATAAGTGCTACAGTGTATATAAAACATTTTTTAACAATCAGGTAATATTTATATTTATTGTACTTATGAAGATATGCAGTAGAAAAAATTGTTTACTCAATCATTAAAATATATTCAATGGAGTAATAGTGTGGTCGTTTTATAAAACAAATAGAGACACACACATATTTGATCTGAAAAATCCAAGTAAATTGTATGAAAAGCTGAAATGTCTATGAACTCAATAGTGCAATTTTGTATACTAGTATAAGAAAACGAAAAAATCAAAACGATTTAGAATTAAGAAGGGAAATATACAGTCTCAGTAGTGCAAACATAATAGAATTACCGACAGTTCCAATGGAATAAGCCTCCTACAATTTCATTCTACCTAATATAACACACTTTTCGCTAAGTAATTTTAGATATATATAACGATGAGAAACACGCAATTGCTGCACTCTCTATTTTCTTAAATCCCTTGTTTGTGTTCATTTAGCATACATGTATTTTTTATCCATCAGATGCTGCATTAATGGTGTAAATATTTTACTATTTTGGGAATGTCTACGATTGAAAAGACTTAATGATTTGCATTGTGATTTTTTCGTCTTTTCGTCGTAAAAGTATCACCATGATTCTATTAACAGTTGAAACCATTTACTATTTTCAAATTGATGCATGCATACATTTTGTTTGTTGATTAGGTAAATATGGGCGAGGAATATAATTATTTCTTTTCTCTAGTTGATCTCTTTTTATGAACAGCCTTCAATCATTTGTTGTCATATCAATCAAAATGGATATACATACGGTTGCTGCAATAGTGTTTTGTATATAAATGTCGATTCATTTGACAAATAATCATTCAGTTGAAATCATTATACTACTAGTATTATAGTTGTAAGAATTAATTAATTTTCGATATTGTATAGATCGGGATTATCATTTGTATATTAATTTTGTAATAAAGATGAAAAACTAAATACTTGATCTTGTTATAAAATTCTTATATGATTCTGTTTATGTTAATATTATAAAGAATGCACCTTCGACACCGGGACAACAAAAAGGAAACAATTAAATAAATAGTAAGTAACAAAAATGTAATTATATAATATACAAGTTTTAGCATTTTCTTTGGGAGTTTTACCCAGGACAGGAAAAGAAATTGCACACAAATCATAATGCACGATAAAGAAATATTAGTGCACATTTTAATTTCAATTGGAAGTATCAAATGGAAGAGTAACCCTTTGTTCATTATTATGACTGAATTTATTAAGTAATTATCATTTAGAAAAGACCATCTCAAACAAATATACACCCCAAAAAAAGAAGAAAAAAAAACAAATAAAAAAAAACACCCATTCACCTCTACATGCACACACAACTCGTTCTCAAAGAATCACGGCACCACTTAGTATAAAATGGGAAAAAATTGATTTGATTTTGAAATTGTTTGTATGTATCCCCATTCGCCATTTTACACAGGACTGCTCACCCACACATCCACACACATTGTATATACACATAAATTCTAAATTCAATAAGGTAAATATACAATGATTAATACAAAATTATAATGTAGCAAAAACATAATTAGCAAAAAAAACAAAAAACAAAGAAAATGAAACAAAGTCAAGCTGAACATGGTTAATTTTATTAGCGTCCATCGCTTCCAACATCCCCGTTAATGACAGACAAGGCACCATCATCGTTTGTTGCTATGCGTTCTCTAGTGTCACCTGTGGCTTCATCTGGCTGTTCGGACCATTCAGTTGGGGTTCAATTCCAAGCTCATTTAACATTTCACTGAAATCATCATTATTTCGAATTATGCGTTTGTCATCTTTGGTGTCTATAATGTATATTTTGCCGTCGACCACCAATGTTGATTTAAGCTTCTTGTTTCGTACAAGAAATCTTGCATAGTATGCCAGTTTACTTCTCAGCCTTGTTAATTCTTGATTGATGGAAATATTAGCAAGTTACGGTTTATTTTTGTTGTATTTGCTCATGCGAAGTAAAGATTCCTTAACCCCGTGACTGGCTAAACGTATGATGATTGGGCGCGGATGATCATATTGTTGCTTTCCAGTGCGGTGACTTATTACTATGTCACTCAGCGACATTTGGATATTCATTTGGCTTGCGATTTTTAGTATTTTATAGTCAGTGTTTACTCCATAAGACAAAGGGACTCCTGTTACACGGACCATTTGTTTCCTGCTATGCTGCTCTATGTCATCGCATTTGTTTTTCAGAAATTTTATTTCTGCCTTTTAATTGTTACTGACTTCAGAACTTTCCATTTTTTGTTCAAGGTCGGCATATTTGATTTTAAACTCTTTTAACTCGCGTAGAACAGGTTTTTGTTTTTCATCAATAAGATTATGTAAGTCACCAATAAGAAATTGTGGGATTACTCATGCTTGTATCAAATAAATTTTCATCAGAAGAAGAGTGTGATAATGTATGGAATATAGCCGCAGATTCTGTATGAAACGTTTTTTGTTTTTTATCTGTTTGTAAATTTTGTTTTTTTTTTTGGGGGGGGGGGGGATGGTTGAGAAGATGGGCGACGTCTTCGTTTTTTAAATTCACTGTTTGTGGTATTAGATTTCTGCATCAAAGGTTAAGAGTCCGTTGAACATAATTAAATACATAGATGATTGAGTAATTTGCAGGCATTAATAACAGTTCTTTCAGAACAATGGTCACGTTGGCATTCGGTCCACTCGACTGAGTGTCAGGTGTGCATTATGTTTTAACACATTATAACATGTCGTATGAAAGTCTCAAATTTTATTTTTTTGTTTGTGCATCACTTATTACTTCTTTCCTGTCATTGGATAATTCAAAACAAAACGCTTATTCACATAATTTTACTGGAGACTCGACCTGATATATAAACACGTCTTTTCCCATCCCGGGCAGGCGCAATTTAGTTTTTAATTTGAGCATGCAAATTGAAGATTATGCGAAATTCGTTACATGTATAACATTAGATGACCACAAAAGATAAATTTGAGAGTCCGAGATACAATATGACACTTTTCAGCCAAATTTCACGTGTTTTTAATTGGTAATAGTAGCAACCAATGCATTTAGAATCACTGTGTCGGTTAGTCCATTTCTCACGGGCATGTTTACATTTTGCATTTGGGAAATTACCATGCAAATCTATTCTAACGTCAGAATTGTAGTAGGTAAAAACTTAATTCAAACTTTTGTAAACGTTAGCCAGATTTTGAGTGCATAAAATTCAAAAAGCGCTCGTATATGTATCGCCTAGTAAATCATTCACCCAGCACGTACAATTCAAAGTTTGTTCAGCTTTCAGGTAATATTATGAGCTTAGATGGTCTGAAAACGTGACCTTCGTCATAAAAATGCAATATTGTTTATATGAAAATAACAGCAAATCTGGTTTCACAGATCAAACCAAGACGCAACTACAATAGTACACAACCCTACCATCTCTTTAAAGACATGTGTTGGATAATACTGTGGATTGTTTATTATTTGATGGGTTCGTATGCTTGTGGATTTCGTTGGTACATTGTTCATACATCTTCGCTAGCCAAGAGTTACTTTCCGGTCAGTGAAGCAGATTTCGTCACGTTAAGAACATCATAAGTACAATTTTTTTCAAAATCCAAGACTTTTTTTTAATGAATGAGTTCGTAGTGCTGCATATCAGCATAATAATGGCACCTTACCTCTCGATCTACATGTTAATCGTGATTTTGCTGGTAAAAGTATGGCCGCCTGATATCGGATCTATTGTTTATACTTTATACTTGTTTGGCTTTCACTATTTTGATCTCAGCGTCACTCACTGACAAGTCTTATGTAGACGAAACGCGCGTCTGGCGTATGTACATTAAACCAGGTTCAACCCACCATTTTTTCTTAAAATGAACTGTACCGAGTCAGGAATATGGCATTTGTTATCAAATTGTTCGTTTCTATGTATGTTGGCGTTTGTTTTTGTTGCACTTTGGTATTCCTGTTGTTCCTTTGTTTTCCTCTTATAGTTGATGTGTTTCCCTCGGTTTTGGTTTGTAACCGGGATTTGTTTTTCTCAATCGATTTATGACTTTTGACACCGGTATACTCCTGTTGCCTTTATGTATCAAATTATAAGCCTTGTACCTTTGAAAACTAATCATACCTTCCGTAAGTCCATTTAGGTGATTTGGTCCAAGAATCATTAGGCCGCTGTCATTCATTTGCACCTAGTGTGAATAGAAATATTGCCGTAGGGAATTTTCGACGTTTTAAAATCATCTTGATACCGGTGGGGTATCTTACGGACGTCCTACAAAATATATTCGCACTTAGGGTCTAATTTTCCTACCTCCAATTACTTCCCAACTTTCAGAGTGTGTTAATAAATCCCTACGGTAATACTTATGTCCACACTATAAAAGCAAACGAAATTCGGGACCTACCGTTTGCCTGGCCTAAACACCGTATTAGATTCCACATGGGTTTCCTACACGATAGGTCCAAAGTTTGGGCCTGACATTTCTACTTCAACTTTCAGAGTTAGTGAAAAAGTGCTTACGCCAATACTTATGTCCCGTCAGTAAATGTATACACGGATTTTCCTTGCGAATCCTTCAGGAACGCCAACTCGTAGTCAATCGCAAGCATCTGTTAATAGTGAATGCTTGGTGCCAAACGCCACTGTCAGCACTATTGTCTATTTTGTGGCGGTCAGTGTTATTGGTGGAGGAAGCCGGAGTGCCCCAAAAGAACCACCGACCTTCGACAGCAAAATTGACAATCCTGGTCGATTGAGAATACAATATAATAGAATATCCTTTATTTCCATAAGAGATGCCCTCAAGAGTCAAAGTGTATATACGTATATGACAATAAAGTTACAATTACAAATCCAATAAAGATGATAAGATTACTTAAGTTAAATATTGTAAATATTGCTACATGTGTAACAGTATCAAAGTGTTACATAATAAATGTTTACTTAAAGCAGGTGTTCTGGTAAGAAATAGCCAAGCTTTTTCAATTAAAGTTTATTTGAAAGAACATTTGTAACGAAAATATTCACGACGGCCTTACGGATTGGTACGAGTACTTTACGAAAAGATACGTATACTTTACATATTCTTACGTATTGTTTACGATTTTGGAAAGATATAAATAATATATTTATATAACTAACTCGTAAATTTTCGTAACAAAACGTAAATAAAGGCAACAGTAGTATAACGCTATTCAAAAGTCATAAATCGATTGAGAAAAAACAAATCCGGGTTACAAACTTAAACCTAGGGAAACACATCAACTATAAGAGGAAAACAACGGAACAACAGAAACACTATGGTGCATCAAAAACAAACACCAATGCAACATAAATAGAAACGAACTATTTGATAACAAATGCCATATTCCTGACTTGGTACAGGACATTTTAAGAAAAAAAGGTGGGTTGAACCTGGTTTTATGGCTAGCCAAACCTCCCGCTTAATGGCAATGTCAAAAATACCGCTAAAATGACAACATTACATGACAGGAATACAGTACAAATAAATGCTAGAACACTCAGGACAGAGAAATACATAAATAAATAATATAATAGTACATTTAGAAATGTTAACCACAGAATAACAACGAACACCTTAAATTAATTTACGACAGTACACAAAAACAGCATAATAGAATTACGAACTGTGCGTCACATGAATGTCAGTATCAACGCCACAAATAGTGACGTTACATGTAAATTTTTAAAAATTGAATATAAATCGGGATTAATTTTGTAATGGTGTTATTTGATGTATTTTATAACAATTACAAGAATATTAATAAATGAACTAGATGATTAATTATCTTTACTTTCACATACGAGTAGAAAATAAACTGAAGACATATAATAAACAAAAATACGAATATGTAACATAGCAACAAACGGCAACCACGGAATTACAGGCTCCT